TTTTTTTAAATTTCTCCGTGTTGAAAACTTGAAGATAATAGTTTTATTAATAATGCTACAGATTTTCAAGTTTCTCCATTAATATCTTTTGAATTGCAACAAAATTACATTAGATGTTTGTTGACCAATATTATTATAAAAATCACGAGTTCAATGTCTCCATTATTTAAATTTCTTAATATTTTTTTTTAAATTAATGCATAGCTTTATAAAGTGTTTTTTTTAATTCTAGTAAAAATTGTCTATGATGAACCCTGAATTCAATTTTAGTTTTAACTTTTATTTTAATTGAACTTAATAACMTAAATAGAGCAAACATATTTTTAAAATCATAATATGTCTAAAGACATTTAAAATATATTTAGTGAGATTTCAAGTGTTTATGGTGATTAGTTTTTAAATTATAAAAATAATAACATTATCTGTAAATAATGTTCCCGGTTATTCGTTGTTCTATGTTAATTTTTCTCGTTAATAAGAAAAATATGGAAAATATTTTGATTTTTGACACTTCAAAGTATATAGCAACTAAATTAAATTTGTCACCAGAAATCTCTCTCTCGAAGTTGAACGCTGAAGAATATTCTTTCTACTGTACCTACAACAAGTGTCGTCAAATAAATTGTGATGACAAATATAAATAGTATTTTAACAACCACCGCGCATTACAAACTGCAGTTTATTAGTATGATTTGGACGTCGGTCTCGCGCATGCAGTCAAAACCACCCTAAACGTGTCAATATAAATTATAGGAATAAAACTATAAACTTACGTGCAACCTTTTATGGGTATTAGCGGTATGCGCACATACCATAAAATCTAAGACTCGGATATACCTATTTTATGTGATATAAATATTTATATATATTATATATATTTATATAATAATATGACTCGTAGTAAATGTATAGTATGTACGATCTTAACGTCATACTGTACCTGCACGCATAATTTATTAATATATATATATAGGTACCTATAAATATTATGAACGTAGTGGCGGTTATAGCCGTGCAAAGAGTAGAATGAAAGCGGACTTCACGCATAGGTAAATATTGTATTGTCAAGAATAAAGGAAAAAAAGGGTTGACCAGGTGTTTTCGTTGCCGGAAGTTTCGATTGTCCACGTCACGTATCAATATTATTATATGTATATAAAGGAGTTGTTACAAGTATACATATATACATACATGGATACCTACATAGTATCCTTTCTCGGCTGCAGTGTCTAAGCAATATGAAGGTGGTGGTAGTGGTAGTGGCGGTGGTGGTGGCGGCGCCTCGATCTTGTCACACGTCGTCGTCGTGGATTTTTATGTCCCCGACCGGGCAGGCACCGAATTTCGTGTCGCGTATTTTATTTACCTGATTCACGCAGACGGTTCTTACCCATTTTTGGCGCCAGTCTGGACACACGTACAACATGCTCTATACATATATATATTTCTGTGTATGTGTGTGTGTGTGTGTGTGTGCAGTGTCTCGATGATATGCGCGCGGACAACGACGACGCGTGGTGAGAGAAACACATAATAATATAGAAGGAGAGAGTGAATGAGCTATAGGAGACGCAAAAGAAATAAAACAAGACGGAGAGGAGAAAATGTTRMACGCGTGTAACATGCCTATAAGCTGCAATAAACCGACCAGCGTGGTGTGTCGAGTTCAGTCGGTCGTAAGGTACGTCGCGCGGCGGTACAAGACGTGTAAAAGAGAATCATAATAATATATCTACTGCAGCGTATTATACGCACCTCATAWTATTATTATTATTATTATATCTTTTGCAGTGTGTAATCTAACAAACAGACTCATCATGCGTTGCACTGTCAAAATAATATATACTCCTATTAATATTATATAGGTAGAGTACCTATCCTGCTGACACCAAATCATCATCGACTTCAACCATCATCAAATTTAACAACGTCGAGTTTGGCTATGCCTCCGTACTTTTGTACGTCGGACGATGATTATAGTGAGTATAATATATATTATATAAACGTATATTTTKATCGTATAATAAGTCTTAATTTAAACATATTCTATAATATTAATCATATGGTGGACTTGTGTGTGCTTGTAATAAGTCATTGTACATTAAATACTTGGCTCGTTATTTGAGGTGTGTACATAATATTATACCAATAATATGGTATAAAATTGATTTTTAGTTTTCGTGCACTATATTGACGTATATTATATTATGATCTATGCATGTTATAGATATTGCATGCAATTTTTTTTTTT